CGTTTATTTTGGTGAATAGGGTAAGTTTGGCACTAAAACGTGCCATCAAACACACCGGTGCAATTATAGATTCAAATAAGGAAGAAATCACCCCTAATGCATTGTATTCAAGCGACAAATATGTTTCTAGGAAGATATTCCCTGCGTCACAGCTACAGCTCATGCCATGTCGGTTAACAGTGAGGTTGAATTAGGCAAATATACACTCATTTGCAAAGTAATTTGGTTTTTCGAAAGAATCACCTGGAACCCAGCTGAATCTCTCGTTTGTGGTGTTTTCAGGCAACTGAATGTGTTGCACCAGGCCGCCTCATGTTTCAGTCGCTACGATATTCGAGATATCGGATACATGTATACCTTTGTAATGTACTACTCATAAGGCTGTTGAAAATCCGCCGACAGCCCACGACCAGTTTCGCCCTTTTTGGGGCTCATCAGGTAGGCGCAGTCCCCGGATTTCTGTTAACCTCATGTTCTACTTGAAACCGAATTGCACGAAATTAGCGAATATACACTCATTTGCAAGCTAATTTGCTTTTTGAGAGACTCACCTGGAACCCAGCTGAATCTCTCGTTTGTGATGTTTTCAGATTGAATTTACTTGGATTAAACTCCCATGGATCCAGCAGTGCGTTATCAGCGAATCACTGGTTACATCACAGACTATTGTCAGACTATTCACAGACTATTCACTGATATCCTCGTTCAGAGAGCGAACTAAATCCAACGTTATTCTTTTTGACAGTTTTTCGCGAGTTCCTGACAAACTATTCAACCAGAAAACGTACTCTGTTATCCTACTGTGGGACATTCAGTCGAGAGATTTAGGATAGGATTACTCAGGAAGTCTCAAAAATACAAGGTACGCGACACTGATATGGCTAATCGATTAGGCGAATGATCAGGAAGCCGGGCTGTTGCCACAGCAACAGCATAAACAAAGTACATTTACCTGTTGGACGCATTCACGGCGAACACCCTACTCTAGTTTTGACGACGCAATTATGACTGAAAGCAAGGTTACGATTTCTTCTATGATAAATCAACTCGACATTATTGAGAAGTGCTATGGCCAAATTAAAATGTTTTTCTCAACAGTCAGCGGATGCTAATTTTCCCTGATTTCGTACCCAATCACAAAATAACATCCTTAAAATGGCAAAACTAGCTTATTCAAATGACGCCGAGAAGAGTAAGGAAAGAATGTAATCCAGTAGGGTACTTGGAAGGGTGAGGTCAAACTCGGGCTACTGCGGTTAACGGGACCAATAAAACCGTAGATCACTGATTTCCAACAGTGATTCCGAAAAAGCTCGCAGCGGCGTGCCGCCCACAGAAGGTGAACCAAACGAAATGCAGCACAGAATTATTTTGACCCGTAACCGAATAAGTCAAGACACAATTTTGACGCGGTTTCCGTGGCCTACATACAGTTTGGTTAGTTTCATTGGGCTGACATAGCTGTTTATCGGCTACCACTGTAATTATATTCTTTTTGCCGGAAGTTGCTATTTAGCGGTTTATTAGACAATTCTACTTCAGCTAATAAGGTCTTTCACCAAACATCTTATCCGAAACACTCAATCCACCACGGAGATGACGCACAGTGAAATTCAAATGTGTCAAGAGTGTTTCCCATTCCGATAACTACTTTAATACGTCTCAGACAATAATTGATCTCCAAAGTTGCGTATATGTAGAGTGCATAGGGTACATATATGTGCATCGTGAAGCCTCTTCATGCAGATACCATTGAACGCTGTGCACTAAAAGTGATGTAAGTTTGTGCACAAAACTCCGCATATTCAGAGCTATGTTCAGCTACGCCAACTTGTGAGGTCGAAACTTGGATACAAATCGAAGTTCTTTGAAAACACGAAGGAGTTTCTTATCGACGACTTCTAAGCATCCTCAGAAAAATTCTGAGTAAGAAAATATTAAAATTCTTTCTTCTCGGAGATTTCTGAAGGCTCTTCGACAGATCACGACTGGTTTCACCTTTCTTGGGCCACATCAGATAAGCTCAGTCCACGAGATTCAAACCGCCTCAGGTTCTACTTGAACTCAAGTTTTAAGAACCCTACGAAATAAGTCAACCTGGTTTTATTGAGGGCCTCAAATAAAACCCAGCTGATCTCATCGTATATGCTATTCTCTAACTAAATTTGTGGCACAATTTCGCCTCGTCTTTCATCTGACACTATATTCGAGATAGCGCACTACATTTTCTTGACGCAGCGTACCACTCACCAGGTTTCTGAAGAAGAGCATCATAAACGATAGATAAGCATTAAATCCAGTCACTTGTCATAACCAGTGTGGAGTGTAACTGAGTGTACTTTGCGAACTCCGTATAATTTAGGTTGAAGCAGAATATAAGGATGACGAGAACTTGGAAACTGCACCTACATAGTGAGTCCTAAGAAGGGCAAGAAAAGTCGTGGATTTTGGAAACGTTTTCAGAAATTCCATAGCTATTGTCCTTGTTGAAAATATACTTCCATATCTCGAATATCATACCAAGCAAAACATGAGGCTTCCTTTATGCAGCACATTCAGTCAAATCATTGTAAACCAGCGATTTAGCTGGATTCAGTTGAGTGTCTTGTTAGAACCATATTAGCGGACAAATGTGTGTACTTTGCGGGTGATTGTGCTTCGAGGAACTTCGACACGTACTCAACACAGACTGTGCTGGTTCATTCACGTTCCACGGCAACAAAACAAAGGGGTAGTAACTCCAACATTGGAACCAAGACTATCCTGAGTTAAAATAACTTTCGGGTGACTATAACATCATCATCACCATCATCATTATCAGCTGCAAGAGCCGCGTACTTGTCGTACAGTGGTTGTAGCTTCCACAGTTTCATTCACTAATGATTTGGGGACGTGGGGTAGGTTGATGCACATTGGAAAAGGGAGCTGATAAATTAGTGCGTAAATACAGCACTGTAATTGGACTGTTAAGTGGGGAGTGGGAAGGGAGCTATGCATTGAAGACAATGTCTTGGATGCATGAGCGCCAGTGAGGGCGCGACTTGTCCATGTTTGACAATGCGTCTAACCATTGATATGGCTCGTCTCGGGGTCCCCATCCAGGAAGACAGCAATGACCGGCGCAGCTGAGTTTGCTGGTAATGGCTTTTACACTTCGCTACCAAGTCATTGTTTGAATGCCCCTGGCTCTCTTCTATCCTTCACGTGGCTGCACTAAAAGGGCCCTTTGTGGAATCTGGTCGACGCAGCACGTGGCCAAGCCACAGCAACCGATGCAGTATGATCAGTTCATCTATCGAGAGTGAGCTATTTCTCCCGAATACCACTCGACATACTTCAGTATTGTTGATCGAGTGTTCCCACCAGACTCGGGCAATGCTCCGAAGACATCGATGGTCAAACACTGAGTCTTTTGACGTCCTCGGCGCACAGCGCCTAGAATTCTTATCCATATAGTAATTTGGAGCGCACCGCAGCATTGTAAACTTGACCCTTGACAGAGACACCACAGGTGACGCAGGTTCACAAAAGCTGCTCTGGCCTTCCGAATCCGAAATTTGTATCAGTACTGTTAAGGTATGTTGAGTTTTCGGGTAAACAACCGGACTACGGGATACGTCACTGGGAACTAAGACACCATTCAATGAAAAAGCAGTGACGACAGTTTTTTAAACATATTAGGATTATACTCGTCTTAAATTATCATCACCCAACTTATCCTGATGAGGATGTCTCAATTTTGAAAATATCAGATTATACAAGTGGGCTTTTTCAAAATCCCTGATCCTTCGCATCTAAACTTGTTTAACTGAGTAAAATCAGAATCCGCATAAAAAAATCGAAACAAGCAAGGCTTTCACTTCCAATACTAGGTAACTGAACTGGAAAGCAGCAAGTTCCAGCTGTAGTCTTTTTGGATTTTCACCGAACCTGCACTGGGAAATGATTTCATGGATGCTAGATGGTGTTTCTTTACGTGAAGGTTTAGAAACCGTCATTCAAATTGCCCCGTAGTTCATCTAATTTGTGTTCACATTGCTTTTGTCTGGGTGGTCGTACTCCTAAATTGATTGAATTATGATGGGCACAATACGAGCGCGATGATGGCCTGAACACGAGTTCACTGTTATTACGATAATCCCATAACTATCCGCAGTGCAACTTGTGCAGTGCTTGTGCAGTGCAACTTGTCCGGCGAACATCTAACAACCGTGTCACTAGCTCACCGTAAAGTTCTAACTGGGGCTTAATCGATAAACGCCACGATATCGCCTACCGAGTTGCCATTAGGGCTGGTGGCCAAGCTGTGGCTTCAGAGAGAAAATTCTCACCTTTTCAGTCATGATACTCTAAGTAATGATAGAGTGGTACTGATAGTTTCCATGTCGCAAATCTAAAGTACAAGTCCGACAATAATGCGTAATACTTCGGGACCAGAAAATAGCTGAGCTCAAGCATAGCAGTCCTAAGCCTACAGAAATACTACTCCTGCGTCTGCTCAAACCTCTTCCAAAGAGCACGACCGGTTTCGTCTTTTTTTGGGCTCTCAGATAGATAGCATCTCGGAGTTCGCGTAAAACTTTCGTCCTACTTGAGATAAAATTGTATGCAATAGGCGAAATACATTAATTGAGTTTTGATGGGATACTCCATTGTATCCAGCTGAACATTACATTAATGGTGTTTTTCAGTAACGTCATGAGTAGCACGTTCTGTCAAGAAAACGTGCTGCTATATCCCGAACATCGTGATAACTGAAACATGAGACAGCCTTGGGCAGCATATTTAGTTGAAGCGAGAAATTTTGCTGCATTTTGTTGAGTCTTCCTAAGAAACCAGACTAGTGTGTAATCGGGATAATATTTGAAATAATTTCTTAGTTATTCAAATAAGGCTACAAAGACCTTGTGTAATCAGTCGACAATAACCGGTGGGGGAAACAATAAAAATTGTGATCCACTTTTCCGATAGGATTGGGCTTGCCAACCACACATACTTACCGAAAGCTTAAGTGATAATTCCTTGGAAAATACTACTCCGCGTTCTAGCTCCACCTCGGCTATGGATCTGGTACAGCGCTCGGTCCGGAAGCAGTACTCCTGTTCACAGTCTGTATTGTTCCGAAACGTGGTGGAAAACAATGAGTGCGATTTCGGCAATCGATGACGGTGATCATCAAAATATTCCGTTGGTTCATGTGTCACAGTAACATCGTCCCAAATTACTTTTAAGTCCAAGTCATTGATGTCAATTTTCTTCTGTTCCTTTGTAGCCGTTGCCAGAAACGTGTCTATGGCCCATATCTTAATATCCGATTGTAAGTCATACATTTCCGCATCTTTTGATTCTGGTGCGCTTGGTTTCGGAGGTTTCAGTTTATTGAACATTTTTTGTGAAAAACGACAACTGAACCTAAGTGCGCCGTCTCACTTCGAACAGCGCTTTGTCGAAAAGCGAAATTTGGGTGTGCCCTATTTGATTGGCCACTGTCATCTGATAAATCATTGGTTAGTCCATTAGTTCGACATTGCCCAATAGGCAGGCGTGTGAAATCAAGTAAACTGTTGGGTGGTTGTGTCAGAAATTCCTACCAAACCCAATCAACCCTCTTCTGAAAATTCAGGGAAATTCCACCGATGTTGACCCTCAAATTCGTTATCGCTCAGCATAGGGGCAGACATTTCTATCCAATGTTCAGCGCCGAAAGTTGCACTTAGTTCTTGTTAGTCAGGTGTTCTGTCAAGCAGTTATATTCTGCTTCAGGCCGTCGCAATATTAGATGGTCCTAGTACAGACCACTCTGCCAACAGTCTTGAAGGCTGTGGTTTCAGAAACCAGGACGTCATCATCTGAACCATTTACGCATCGCTCAGCACTTTATCTGCTTAGAGGAACAGAAGCGAACTCAAAAGCGTCAGTAAATCCATGTCCTACTTGCATGTTTCCACATTAGAACGGTTGGTCAAACAGACGGACGCGATCTTTTCTGTTGGCCGCGCGAATCTTTCGGTTTGAGCTGAAAATGGATACATTTTTCGCCCACAACTATTCAGGATTTCCCCGAGGCATACTGAAAGCAAAGGTGATAGTAACTGTACGTGGTTGTGGCTAAAATTCCATCGAGTGATTTCACTTGATGGGCTCATGTATTTCTATTACCCGAATGTTCGGGTAATTACATTCCTCATGCGCATTTCAGGATGCTCTTAACACCTGAAGACTGTGGGCTCGCCCAAACTGGTAAAAAGTACTATCAGTACCGTTGTCCAATGGCAGTTGTTCTTGTGACTTTTCTGACCAAGTTCTATATGTATTCCGAAACCTACCTGCCCGTTGTAGCATGAGGGGATAAGCAAGAAGTCACGAAGATCTAGAAATGGTGTTTTTTTCCTGATTCACCATCAATCTGGGATATTTGATTAGTCAGGCAGAGTATGGTCATGCCCCTCCACTAGGTGGAAAGGAGTTGGCCGATTATAAAAAAGCCTCTTTTAAATGTGACACTATATGGTCACAAAATTAGCTATGGGGGTTCGGGAGAACACTCTTTGTTGAAAAATGGCTAGCAGTCTTGGATTCGTATTTCACTCCTAAAACAGATGGAATGACATCAGTAAAATGTTCGGGAATACTTCATGCTCCAAGAGGAACCAAGTGTTAATGATGTGCACTAAGCTTCAGGTAGAATTGAAATTACACACCGGAAAATAATACGCTCGCCTGTCTCGACCTCCTCCTTCAAAAACACATATCCTGGCGACAACCCAGTGCACAACGACAACCAGCTAACTGGTCCGGCTTAGAACTGACATCATGCTCACCAACTGTGTCGGCCACATGAAATGGCTTCTGGAATTTCCAGACATGTGCAGGATACTGATGGCACGAAGACTCGAAGACCCCACAGCATTGTAGCCACTTCCATTCCGTGCTGCGGCATTGCCACAGGAAAACTTTGGTAAATCAACCAAACTTTGGCGAAATACACTTGTTTGCAAACTAACTTGGTTTTGCAAGAGAATCACCTGGAACCCAGCTGAATCTGTCGTTTGTGATTTTTACATGCAAACAAATGTGCTGCATCAGACGGCGTCATGTTTAAGTTGCTAAGATCTTCAAGATATCGCGATACATGTATATTCGTACTGCACTACTCATAAGGCTGCTGAAGAATTTTCAGCAAAGGAGCTTTTGGATTGGTCTTACGCTCGCTGGAGCACTAAAAAAGATTAAAGTCGCCTACAACTGTAGGGCCCACATCTAGTTGGTTGGACAAGTTACTGAGTGTTGATTTAAACAGAGGAATGCGTTGTTGTTCACAAACCTAGTCAACAGGAAATGAGGTTCCATCATCATACACCAATAACGCCGATGGAAGCGCGTCCAGCCCAGTGTGTCGTTTTACGTCGGGGAGGTAGATACTAACTCGTGCAGATAACACGGGTCGATTGAGTGCTTCAGTGGTTGGTGTAACACCATCCTGGTGCGTCTATCCGTGTGGACAGTGAGCTCACCTTGTGCAAAACTCACTTTTGCTGTTGTGGTGAAAGGATGCTCAACGTTGGGTCGAAGTATGATTTTATCCTCTGGGGCAACTCCCTCGAGAAACCCTGTTTTTGGTTCTTCTAAAGCGTTTATTTTTACGAGCTTACAAAAGGGCACTTCCGTCAGTCCTTCAGGAAAAGATGGCGGGTTAAATCAGTGAACTAAGCAGTGTACAAAATATGAACTGTTCTAGGGTTTGCGAAACCGACTTCGCTGAATGTATAAGGCATGACGACACTGTGGGACATTTCTCGGAAACATACAACACTTTTGAATCCGTGATATCAGTTTGTCTGTCAATGGAAGAGTTTGCACTGCGGCAGTGGATCAGAAACATGGCTTCTCATTGTCAGCTGTAAGAACCGCGTACTTGTCCCAAGTGGTCGCAGCTACCACAGTTTCCTTCACCGATGATTCGGGGAGGTGGGGTAGACAGATTCGCATTGGAGGCGGGAGCTGATAAATTAGTGCGTAAATACAGCACTGTCAGTGGACTGTTAAGTGGGGGGAATAGGGAAAGGAACTATGCAGTGAGGGCAATGGCTTGGATGCATAAGCGCCGCTGAGGGCGCGACTGGGCCATGTATCACAATGTCTCTAATCATTCATCATTGTCAGCTGTAATAACCGCGTACTCGTCGTACTGTGGTTGTAGCTGCCGCAGTTTCGTTCACCGATGGTTTGGTATGGTTTGATATGGCCTGTCTCGGGGTTCCCATTCAGGAAGACAGCAATGACCGGCGCAGCTGAGTTTGCTGGTAATGGCTTTTACACTTCGCTACCAAGTCATTGTTTGAATGCCCCTGGCTCTCTTCTATCCTTCACGTGGCTGCACTAAAAGGGCCCTTTGTGGAATCTGGTCGACGCAGCACGTGGCCAAGCCACAGCAACCGATGCAGTATGATCAGTTCATCTATCGAGAGTGAGCTATTTCTCCCGAATACCACTCGACATACTTCAGTATTGTTGATCGAGTGTTCCCACCAGACTCGGGCAATGCTCCGAAGACATCGATGGTCAAACACTGAGTCTTTTGACGTCCTCGGCGCACAGCGCCTAGAATTCTTATCCATATAGTAATTTGGAGCGCACCGCAGCATTGTAAACTTGACCCTTGACAGAGACACCACAGGTGACGCAGGTTCACAAAAGCTGCTCTGGCCTTCCGAATCCGAAATTTGTATCAGTACTGTTAAGGTATGTTGAGTTTTCGGGTAAACAACCGGACTACGGGATACGTCACTGGGAACTAAGACACCATTCAATGAAAAAGCAGTGACGACAGTTTTTTAAACATATTAGGATTATACTCGTCTTAAATTATCATCACCCAACTTATCCTGATGAGGATGTCTCAATTTTGAAAATATCAGATTATACAAGTGGGCTTTTTCAAAATCCCTGATCCTTCGCATCTAAACTTGTTTAACTGAGTAAAATCAGAATCCGCATAAAAAAATCGAAACAAGCAAGGCTTTCACTTCCAATACTAGGTAACTGAACTGGAAAGCAGCAAGTTCCAGCTGTAGTCTTTTTGGATTTTCACCGAACCTGCACTGGGAAATGATTTCATGGATGCTAGATGGTGTTTCTTTACGTGAAGGTTTAGAAACCGTCATTCAAATTGCCCCGTAGTTCATCTAATTTGTGTTCACATTGCTTTTGTCTGGGTGGTCGTACTCCTAAATTGATTGAATTATGATGGGCACAATACGAGCGCGATGATGGCCTGAACACGAGTTCACTGTTATTACAATAATCCCATAACTATCCGCAGTGCAACTTGTGCAGTGCTTGTGCAGTGCAACTTGTCGGGCGAACATCTAACAACCGTGTCACTAGCTCACCGTAAAGTTCTAACTGGGGCTTAATCGATAAACGCCACGATATCGCCTACCGAGTTGCCATTAGGGCTGGTGGCCAAGCTGTGGCTTCAGAGAGAAAATTCTCACCTTTTCAGTCATGATACTCTAAGTAATGATAGAGTGGTACTGATAGTTTCCATGTCGCAAATCTAAAGTACAAGTCCGACAATAATGCGTAATACTTCGGGACCAGAAAATAGCTGAGCTCAAGCATAGCAGTCCTAAGCCTACAGAAATACTACTCCTGCGTCTGCTCAAACCTCTTCCAAAGAGCACGACCGGTTTCGTCTTTTTTTGGGCTCTCAGATAGATAGCATCTCGGAGTTCGCGTAAAACTTTCGTCCTACTTGAGATAAAATTGTATGCAATAGGCGAAATACATTAATTGAGTTTTGATGGGATACTCCATTGTATCCAGCTGAACATTACATTAATGGTGTTTTTCAGTAACGTCATGAGTAGCACGTTCTGTCAAGAAAACGTGCTGCTATATCCCGAACATCGTGATAACTGAAACATGAGACAGCCTTGGGCAGCATATTTAGTTGAAGCGAGAAATTTTGCTGCATTTTGTTGAGTCTTCCTAAGAAACCAGACTAGTGTGTAATCGGGATAATATTTGAAATAATTTCTTAGTTATTCAAATAAGGCTACAAAGACCTTGTGTAACCAGTCGACAATAACCGGTGGGGGAAACAATAAAAATTGTGATCCACTTTTCCGATAGGATTGGGCTTGCCAACCACACATACTTACCGAAAGCTTAAGTGATAATTCCTTGGAAAATACTACTCCGCGTTCTAGCTCCACCTCGGCTATGGATCTGGTACAGCGCTCGGTCCGGAAGCAGTACTCCTGTTCACAGTCTGTATTGTTCCGAAACGTGGTGGAAAACAATGAGTGCGATTTCGGCAATCGATGACGGTGATCATCAAAATATTCCGTTGGTTCATGTGTCACAGTAACATCGTCCCAAATTACTTTTAAGTCCAAGTCATTGATGTCAATTTTCTTCTGTTCCTTTGTAGCCGTTGCCAGAAACGTGTCTATGGCCCATATCTTAATATCCGATTGTAAGTCATACATTTCCGCATCTTTTGATTCTGGTGCGCTTGGTTTCGGAGGTTTCAGTTTATTGAACATTTTTTGTGAAAAACGACAACTGAACCTAAGTGCGCCGTCTCACTTCGAACAGCGCTTTGTCGAAAAGCGAAATTTGGGTGTGCCCTATTTGATTGGCCACTGTCATCTGATAAATCATTGGTTAGTCCATTAGTTCGACATTGCCCAATAGGCAGGCGTGTGAAATCAAGTAAACTGTTGGGTGGTTGTGTCAGAAATTCCTACCAAACCCAATCAACCCTCTTCTGAAAATTCAGGGAAATTCCACCGATGTTGACCCTCAAATTCGTTATCGCTCAGCATAGGGGCAGACATTTCTATCCAATGTTCAGCGCCGAAAGTTGCACTTAGTTCTTGTTAGTCAGGTGTTCTGTCAAGCAGTTATATTCTGCTTCAGGCCGTCGCAATATTAGATGGTCCTAGTACAGACCACTCTGCCAACAGTCTTGAAGGCTGTGGTTTCAGAAACCAGGACGTCATCATCTGAACCATTTACGCATCGCTCAGCACTTTATCTGCTTAGAGGAACAGAAGCGAACTCAAAAGCGTCAGTAAATCCATGTCCTACTTGCATGTTTCCACATTAGAACGGTTGGTCAAACAGACGGACGCGATCTTTTCTGTTGGCCGCGCGAATCTTTCGGTTTGAGCTGAAAATGGATACATTTTTCGCCCACAACTATTCAGGATTTCCCCGAGGCATACTGAAAGCAAAGGTGATAGTAACTGTACGTGGTTGTGGCTAAAATTCCATCGAGTGATTTCACTTGATGGGCTCATGTATTTCTATTACCCGAATGTTCGGGTAATTACATTCCTCATGCGCATTTCAGGATGCTCTTAACACCTGAAGACTGTGGGCTCGCCCAAACTGGTAAAAAGTACTATCAGTACCGTTGTCCAATGGCAGTTGTTCTTGTGACTTTTCTGACCAAGTTCTATATGTATTCCGAAACCTACCTGCCCGTTGTAGCATGAGGGGATAAGCAAGAAGTCACGAAGATCTAGAAATGGTGTTTTTTTCCTGATTCACCATCAATCTGGGATATTTGATTAGTCAGGCAGAGTATGGTCATGCCCCTCCACTAGGTGGAAAGGAGTTGGCCGATTATAAAAAAGCCTCTTTTAAATGTGACACTATATGGTCACAAAATTAGCTATGGGGGTTCGGGAGAACACTCTTTGTTGAAAAATGGCTAGCAGTCTTGGATTCGTATTTCACTCCTAAAACAGATGGAATGACATCAGTAAAATGTTCGGGAATACTTCATGCTCCAAGAGGAACCAAGTGTTAATGATGTGCACTAAGCTTCAGGTAGAATTGAAATTACACACCGGAAAATAATACGCTCGCCTGTCTCGACCTCCTCCTTCAAAAACACATATCCTGGCGACAACCCAGTGCACAACGACAACCAGCTAACTGGTCCGGCTTAGAACTGACATCATGCTCACCAACTGTGTCGGCCACATGAAATGGCTTCTGGAATTTCCAGACATGTGCAGGATACTGATGGCACGAAGACTCGAAGACCCCACAGCATTGTAGCCACTTCCATTCCGTGCTGCGGCATTGCCACAGGAAAACTTTGGTAAATCAACCAAACTTTGGCGAAATACACTTGTTTGCAAACTAACTTGGTTTTGCAAGAGAATCACCTGGAACCCAGCTGAATCTGTCGTTTGTGATTTTTACATGCAAACAAATGTGCTGCATCAGACGGCGTCATGTTTAAGTTGCTAAGATCTTCAAGATATCGCGATACATGTATATTCGTACTGCACTACTCATAAGGCTGCTGAAGAATTTTCAGCAAAGGAGCTTTTGGATTGGTCTTACGCTCGCTGGAGCACTAAAAAAGATTAAAGTCGCCTACAACTGTAGGGCCCACATCTAGTTGGTTGGACAAGTTACTGAGTGTTGATTTAAACAGAGGAATGCGTTGTTGTTCACAAACCTAGTCAACAGGAAATGAGGTTCCATCATCATACACCAATAACGCCGATGGAAGCGCGTCCAGCCCAGTGTGTCGTTTTACGTCGGGGAGGTAGATACTAACTCGTGCAGATAACACGGGTCGATTGAGTGCTTCAGTGGTTGGTGTAACACCATCCTGGTGCGTCTATCCGTGTGGACAGTGAGCTCACCTTGTGCAAAACTCACTTTTGCTGTTGTGGTGAAAGGATGCTCAACGTTGGGTCGAAGTATGATTTTATCCTCTGGGGCAACTCCCTCGAGAAACCCTGTTTTTGGTTCTTCTAAAGCGTTTATTTTTACGAGCTTACAAAAGGGCACTTCCGTCAGTCCTTCAGGAAAAGATGGCGGGTTAAATCAGTGAACTAAGCAGTGTACAAAATATGAACTGTTCTAGGGTTTGCGAAACCGACTTCGCTGAATGTATAAGGCATGACGACACTGTGGGACATTTCTCGGAAACATACAACACTTTTGAATCACCTTACAAGCCTCTCTTCATAATACTGTTCGTGTTCACTCATTTCTAAGGCACTTATCAACTGTTCACGTGGAAAAAGAGTTTTGTCAAAACACGCATCCCTTATGATGTCGTTATCGCATGTCGTCACATTTTTCAAAAAACATGGCGCATTCACGGAGTACCACTCATTAACAAGGGACCCAATTGAATCTCATGTTTACAATTTTCGTCTTCAACTAAATTTGCTGCTCAAGGCCAACTCATGTTTTAGTTGGAAAGATATTCATGATATTGCAGTATGTTTTCTTGAGGGAATATGCTACTCACAAGGTGGCTGGTGGTTCCGTCATTCTTTGGGCTCAGCAAGTTGGCATATACCCATAGCTCCAGTTAAAACTCTATTGTTTGAACCCAGCTTGTACACACTCCGCAATATACACTCACTTGCCTGATAATTTGATGCTAACGGAAGACTACTGAGTTCCTGGCGATTCTGTCCTTAACGATGTTCTTTGTTAACCATATGAATAGCACATTTTGTCGAGAAAATGTCGCGCAGTGTCTCGGATATCACGCCAACTGAAACATGAGACGGACTTGAGCAGAATATTTAACTGGAGAATAGCGTGAAGGTGTGACTCGACTGGGGGTCTCTTGTTTAAACCAAATCGGTATACACATGAGTTTATTCCGCGAGCTGAATTCAGATGGAGTATAAGGTTGCCGAAATTTCGGAGATTGAGCCTCCTGGATTAGCTCGAAGAAGTGCAAAACCGGTCGTCGTATATCGGAGGATTTACAGAAACCTTATGCGTAGCAAGTTCCGTCAATAAAAGCTGTGAACCATGTTTTTTATAATGGCCAAGTACTGAGGTCTGCCCGAATATTCCTGATGTGAAGCGTTATTTGAGGAATAAATTTGCCAGAGCAAGTCCTCACTTTCGCCGGCTGTTTATTGATAGTCAAGCTCTGACTTTCCATATTTTCTCAGTATGCATGAAGGTTGACGTAGGTCAACATAATTAAGTCAAACATCTTTCAGAGCAACCCAAAGCTCGCCTACCAGTGAAAGGAAGAAGGCCTTCGCTGCGGAGTTACTTATTCGGAGATGCCAACCGGTTACAGACCATTGAAGAGGGAAACAAGACCCTAATCTGCATCTTAGTTACAAAAACTGGACACAGACCTTCTCCCGAACGAGCCTTCCCAGAGATTCGTTGCCTCCACTCATTTGTCGATCAAATCCAAGCAAATGTTACAAAGTGGCCCCACGAATTCCGCAACAGAATTCTCTTTTTCAGTCGACGCAAAACGAAAGTCTACGAACAACACATACTACTCGCGTGCCTCCCGATCAGTAGTTTCACCGTTACACCAGTTTTACTAGCAATTGTCTTCGCAATCACACCTAGCCTCCCGATAGTAGTTTCACCGTTACACCAGTTTTACTAGCAATTGTCTTCGCAATCACACCTAAGTAACAGTGGTATGTGTCACGCCATGGTTTTACCTAGATAAACGAACTTCCGGGGAGGAAGAGGAGGTGGAGGAGGGGTAGAAGTGTCTGTCGGGGAGGAGAATGCGGTTGTGACATCATCTTGGAGCTACCCTTTTTGGAGAATGTATGGTCAGTTTTTAACCTGTGAACTCCAATGAAAGTGTTTACGGAAACGGGACAGTGCTATGTATGATAGACACTTGATTCTAGAGCCCAATAAGGACATCCAAACTTATACAGTAAACACCATACGTTCTTGGATCAACCTAGCGGTTAATATATATATGACATGCACTAAATTGTTGAACAAATCAACTTATCACGGAAAAATTTTTCTTACGTATCTTTAACTGAAACTCTGCCGACAGATGCTTTGGTTTTCTGTTGACCATTCTCTGCACAGATTTAAGAAATACTCGACATGTTCGTAAACAAAAGTTAATTCCGAACAGCTACGCTGAAGTACATTTCTCAGTCTGGTTGAGACCACTAGATTTCGGCATGATAAAGGCACGTTTCCAAAATCTTCTTTTATAAAAAGAAAACTTTGAGTTTAAATATTTCTTGGTCTTTGAAACCATTCGTGTACCGAATAAGGTAGTAGTACACTTTTTTGTTCAACGTTCAACGAGGCCTAGGTCCCCTATGCTCCTTTCCATTTATCATACTTTGAAGATTACAGAAAGCACGGCTAGTTATTGTTGCTTGTCCGTGGACTTAGGTCGCGAAGAATTGCGGCTAATAGGCAGTGTTTGCATAGGTTGTAAGACGTTAACAGAATTAATTCCGTAAATATCCTACCAAGCCTACACAACCTGCACTCCACCAAACACGACGTCAAATGAAGAAGGGTAATCTGCACGTTCATGGAACTTTGTGTTCTGTCGCACATTTCGAGGAATCCTGTAGCACCTTGGAGGTGTACCAAAATTATATATTGTTGAAATACACAACAAATTGGCGATTAAACGACAACAAACGGTATGACACGGCAGCTGGAACCACTGAAAGTCTAGTGCATAGTTTATAATCAACAGGTTTATGGGTTGAGCAGCTACTGGAATATGAGAAACATCTAAGTACTAACAAAAAATTCGATCACGACCAGG